ATCAGGGAACATCTTTAGGATCACTAGAAACAAACCCTCAAAATTTCATGTGATTATGATAAGTATTTAATTAATTATAACTTAATTTGTCTTTGGGGTATTTAATTAATTTAAAATAAAACACTTAATTAATATTTTTAATTTTTGGACCTTTCCTCTATTCACTGAGCACAGAGATTTTTTTCTTTTATTTTTATGATTTTTTTCACAAAGATATGAATTTTTTAAGTTAAATAGCATTTTCTATATTTAATTAATTCAAAAAACCCATATTTATCTACTTTTCCATGCGGAGCTGACTGTATCATCAGACCTGTCGAAAGCTCACGCATCGCCCGTTGATTCTCCAAAATTTACACATCAGCCGCTGAATCAAACTGTGATTCTCATAACTTCACCCCGTCTGACCTATTCTCCACCATTTGTTTGATGCACGTGAAAATAGACGGCATCCATTCATCGTCCCTAATTTTCCATAACTCGTGAACTGTCCACATTCTAACCCTAAGATCTCGCTCAATACTCAATAAAATTAAGTGTGGTTTGTTCCTACCTTCATATAAGTGAGAAAAACACATCGTATCTAGCTATATGGATGTGTTTTTCTCACTTATATGAAGATAGGAACAAACCACACCAAAAGCAAGGCAAAATTAGGGATTTTCAAGCTATACCTTTACCCAAGAAGTGAAGCCTCTATTGGGTTGGTTTAGAAGCATCACCTTAGTCTCACGAACGTCCTCCAAGTGTCAATTTGAGATGTGGTTGGGTCTAGGTATGAATTGGGTTGAAGGGCGGCTAGAGTGTGGTATAGGATTAAGTTAGAGAGCACGAGAATGGGGTATTTTGATCGAGGAAGTTATTTTGAGGTGTTGTGAACCTTTTGTGATGATCAATTGGGAGTTTCGAGGAGTTTTGTGAATGGCATAAAACCCTTGGATTTCAGTTGGGAAATTAGGGTTTCTCAGTGGGGAAGAAGGGCTAAAAATGGTTGGGATTAGCTTCGTGAGGTTGTGAGAAGGTTCTAGAATGATTTTGGAAGAGTTTCCTCAAGGTTTATGTGTCCCTTGTGGTTGTGGGGTGGTGGTGGATTTATAAACCATGAAATTGTGGTCAATTGGGATGGTCGGTGGGTGGAAAAGGTTACTTAGGTGGAGGGAAGAAGAGAGCCAATATCCAATGGTTGTGAGCCAAGTAGGGGAGTTCAAATCTTGGGTCTTGGTCATAAGTGGCCTCTCGGGTTTGGTGTTTTTCGGCTGCCGGCCATGGGGAGTCACCATCTCACTATTGGAGATCAACGATGGGAAAATGTTAATTCAATTGGGAATGGTCATGTGTAAGGGTGTTCAATTGAAATGGAAAGGGGTTTAGGCTAGGCTTGGGTCAACCATGGTTAGGTCCACCATGGAAATGGCTTTGGGTGGGTCTCCAAGGTGGCTTGACCTAATGGAGGTTAGCTTGATCTATGTGGAGATGTCCCTATCCAAGAGATTAGGGTTCTCATCCAAGAGGTTAAACGTGGGTTTAAGTGAGTCATGAGAAGGGTTAAGTGCTTTTTAGGGAATCATTAAAGGGTCTCCTCCTTTGCCACTTTGAGTATGGTGGTATGGCAAAGACTAATACTCTAAGATAGTAAACAGAAAAGTCATATAGCTAGATCTTATGTTTCTATAGAAGGGAATTGGACCTCATCAAAAATAAGGTCAACATATATCATTAAAAAGACCATAAATTTTTTTTTTTTCAAAATTTGAGTGCTTTATTCTTTTTTTTTTCCTCCTTTTTTTTGGCCATATAGCTTATTTTATCTTTGTGAAATGAATTTATTTTTTTGTTTTTTCTTGTGATACAGTGCTAAGATGAGTTTTCTTGTACAGATTTCTAGGTTTTAAAATAGATGTTGTAGATTAGCTTTTAAATATTTTCAAATTTTAAAAAGTCATTTATGAACCACAAACATTATTTGGCATCTAATAATGGACATGCTAGTGTTTAAACCTTAGTGTAAATTTTAGATATTTACTGAGTCCTTTGTACATTGAAATCCATAAATTTGCTTTAGAAAAATAAACATATTATTCTTAAAACATTGCAATCACTTAGAAAAATATGTTTATTCAGTTTTTAAAACCACTTATAGCATAAATATAAAGCATTATGGTTTTAAAATTAGGTCTTTGTTGTTATCCAATTAAGGTCTTAAACAATTTTTTTCTCCCAATTGATGAATTGTCTTGTTTAAATCAATTTCACATTTTTTTTGTCAACTATGAATCCATAGGTGACTTATGCTGCTTTTAAAATTCCTTATGGTCATTTACTATTTTCATGAAAAATCATGAAGATTCCAACTTCTATAAATGCTACTTCTAGATTCCCAGCTAGGAGAAAGGTGTGTGATTTTTTTAGCTTGTCAAGGAACAAAAACACTTCATATTTATTTTCACCCAATGGTTTTTCTTTATCACTACTTTTCTCATGTCAAGTGTTTCTCTACATAAATTCCCTATGGTCATTTACTATTTTCATGAAAAATCATAAAGATTTCAACCTCTATAAATGCTTCTTCTAGATTCCCAGCTAGGAGAAAGGTGCGTGATTTTTTTAGCTTGTCAAGGAACAACAACACTTTATATTTATTCTCACCCAATGGTTTTGCTTTATCACTACTTTTCTCATGTCAAGTGTTTCTCTCCATAAGAAGTTTTAATGAATCATCAAATAAGATGTACATTTGTTTAATCATATCTTCGTAACAGTTTTTCTTCTAAAACACTTATTTTTATTAACCCTTGGCTTTCCCAAATTTTATCCTATTTCCACCTGACAATCTTATAGAAACGTGGATGACTAGTCTTTATGATCAAGATAAGATATGTTTGCTCCAAACTCCTTTTAGCTTCGAATGTTCAATAATGAGAGTTAGCTCTTGAGGTATTGATCCCACATTACAAAAATGTGATAAGGCCAACGTCTTACTCGTAATTTAAGGTATGGCAAGAAGGAAAAATTACATCACATTTGTCTTTTATTTGTATTTAACAATATTATATTCATATAATAGTGTTTGCATTTATATTATAACAGTGAGATTAAAATCATGAGTAGCAAAGCACACAAGCAAATTTCATCTATTATTTTATACATTTTTTACTCCTTTCAATAGATTATATTATTTTTTAAATTCTGCTTTATTTTAATTTTAAAATTTTGATAAATAAATATTGAAAAAAAACAAATGCATCAATATTATTCTAGTCACATGCACGTCATCACCGATAATCATTATATGTCCCTTCTAATTATCCTTCTGTAGAAATTTTACTTCTCTAAATTTAATTATTTTCTAGAAATATACTATTATTATTTTCTTGAATATAGTTATTATTATTTCTTTGAAAATTTAAAGAATTTTTCAATAATCATATAATATAAGATTGCGATTTTAGAGAGAGATTTAAGAAGATAATTGATAAGAAGTAGATTTAATATTTCAATGTTCATGTGTGACCAAAAAAAAAATTTTGATTAAAGAATTAATAAAAGAAATAAGTTATTAGATTAATAATAATAATCTCATTCATAATTTTTTTTATCTTCTACAAATTATACAATGTAAAGTTGTTTATGTTAGCCTCTAATTGTCCATGTTATAGTAAACAACACACTACATTTGATATTATAACCTCAATGTCAAGGATTGAACTAAATGGAAATTAAAATTGGGTTAAATATACTAATGATCAATTCCAGTTTCAATCAAAAGACCTAAGCCTACTTGTAAGGGGCAAACACTGAATGTCTGCAACTATTTCTTAACCATTTGAACTAAGACTAGTTGTAAAGTCATATGTACCTCAACAATACATTTTCTAAAATTAAAAACCAAATTTATCAACGCTATTTTAAAATAAAAGAAACTCAAATTTTAAGCATATTAAACCCACAACCACATAGAAGCTTTATATTACATGAACCATTCAATCTCGTCTTAACCAAATTATCGCTTAGAAAGAATGAACTAAAATGGATGTTTGATGAAATACAAAAATGATTAAATCGAATAATAAGAGCAAATCATTAACGATTAAATAGAAAGAGAGCAAATCATTTTTTATATTCTGTATAGCATTTAAAATATCTAATATGAGACATCCAAAGCTGCACGTAGAGAACAGCTTGGCTGAAACCATCAATTATGGATCTTGTCCAATTGATCAAATTTTTAAAAAAGCGATCTTCATCCGAGTCATCCATGTCATGCATAGCAATGATTGCAGCTTTCTGGTTAAGGGGCAATGACACTAGAAACATTGCTGTTTACAAATCTAGCACCCTTTCTAGTTCAATTTTCAATTTTTTACTCGAATGTCAAAAACAGTATAAAAACATAACCAATATTTTAATTTTTTATCAAATTCTAATTATCCCTTAATAAAAGGCAACATTAGAAAACAGAAACAAAATTAAATTATATCGGTGTCCGTCTTACACAAAAGAAAGAATGAACCATCAATACTAACTGAAATGTTTATAAGCAATTTGAACAAATTCCATCACTTGTGTTCATTATTTTTTGGGGCCATTTACATACATACGAGAAAGTTCTTGGGAATTAGCATATTTAAAATCTAATCCTTCGTATTTATATATAAAACACTCAAATCTTTAACATTGTATTAAAAACACCACTATCACTAACCGAAAATACTAGAATTATTCCAGAAAGAATTGATCTACAATAGCAATCACAATTTTAAGATTAGATTATTTCCTGAATGACAACAAACATTTTATAAAATGGAATCCACATCTGGCAGCATGGCTGATGCCCTTGCCCATCATACCATACAGATTCTGAACTTACCCACATAGATAAGAAGAATGCATCAAACCTCGCACTTCAACTCATGAGTACTACTACTCATCACCCAAGTAAAAGTAATAAATTTAAAATAAAAAAACACAAACATAAGGCTGTCTAGATCAACCTCAACAAGTTAAAAACAGGTGCAAGCGAATAACTTTCCACCACTATATATAAGCACAGAAGAAGACCATACGCAGCTGTTAGTAAACAGAAAAAAGTGTACACTGTACAAAACCTAGAAATGTAAGAAATCCCTTTTCTCCAAATTGTTCTATTCTTGTTCATGTTGCTTCCAGGAAGAACGAGTGTCAAGAACAAACTGATCCATGGTACCAGGATGTCTTTTATTTACTTCTTCCAGCAGTTCTTAAGACAGAGGAGAAGCTTATCCTAATAAAATCAATGACGGGAAAAAAGTTTGAAAGATGAGCTTCAGCCACGAGTGAACAGAAGCACAGAAAAGTTAAGACTAGAATTGAAATATAATTTGAGTAAGCAACGAAATTACCTAATAAGCGGCTTGCGCTGTGTTGCAGCTGCGGGCGGTTCATTGCATGGAACCGATAGCTCTGCAGGCTTTTGTTCACCAGGGGAAAAATGCCAATTGAAAGTTCAAGTTAAGCCAAAAGCTAAATGACGCATGAAAGATACAGTAATGAATATTTCTACTTGGGTTGAATGCAAGACTAGTGTAGTAGAACCCCGGGTTACCTTTAACACAGGAATTTGATTTGGTGTTTAAAAAAAAGTATATGCTTGAAAGCTACAAAAATGATACTAGGAAGTAAACAGATTCAAATATACTGCTCTGAAGTGTGAATATCAAAGCATTCATAGTAGGAAGCGTGGGCTTCATAATGGGAAGCATATGCTTATGATAAGCGACATAAACAAAGCTTCATATTTTTTAATCTCGCAGCCTAATTCAACATTTTATGCTATTCAAAAGGAGAAAAAAATAAATTAGTCAAAAATCTTTCGAAAGAAAATTTACCGCTTAAACATTTCATAGCAAAAAGAGGCTACATGTTTTTTACATTGCCTCTGTTCTGAAATATAGGTCTTCATATCATATATCTACCCAATTTTCTCATCAACCAAAGCAATAATTTGATCATATTAATTTTAAGTTGTCATCATGGATCATTTATGTATAACTTAAGGGTATTTGCATACATACAAGACAATTATTATGTATTTATTTACATATCTAACATATAAACATTATTTTTTGCATTTATAACACTAAATTTTTCAAACCACATAAAAATACGCTATTACTAACTTTTAAAAAGTAACACACATCATCATGCCTAGGTAAGGTTTTAAAAATGTAAAACTCAAAATTTAGGTATTAGATTTGTATACACAAAGTATTGTGGTATGAATGTGACACTTCCTATAGCTTAAATTCATTTTAAGCATGCTCCGAAATATATTTTATTATAATATTATTATTTAAAAAAACAGATATTTCATAACTAATTTCATGGTATATGATTATATTTAACATGTTAAATTAATGAAGGATAAAAATAATAAAAACTAGAAGGTTTTAAGAATTAGAATTATTAGTTTTAATTTTATATGATTTATATTAAGATAGTACAATTTAATATTTTAAATACATAAAATTAAAATGCTAAAGCTTACGCTTTATGTTTTGAAGCTTAAAATTCATTCTAAATGGGGGTAAAATGCCTTGCTTCACATTTCGCTTTTAAAACTTTAATGTGATTATAAATTCTAAATAATCTGACAACCCATCTTTATATTATAAAAATAGAAATGATATAGTTCATTCGGGTGATGCTACCAAGTAGCAAAGATATCATGAAACCAAAAAAATAAAGAACAAAAATGCTGATGTAAGAAACAAGAACATTTGGAAACACCTCAAGCTCCTCCACAGCTCCATTGGCCATATATCCATTTTGTAAATTTTGATTTTGAGAAGATCCAACTTGAGTTCCGATATTCATTGCAGTAGGATGGATATCAGAGCAGCCATTCCCAGCTTCTACCAAGTTCTCATCCTTAGTCTGCAACTGATGATCATCAAACCCCTCTAACGAAGCTTCAAGTATTGTAGATGGATTACCTGAGATGTTCTTTATCACTACTGGTTCGGCTTGTTTAAAAAGCTGATTAACCGAGCCTATTCCAAGCTGATCCCCACCCCCATCTGCAGCTGCAACAGTTTCAAGTGATTTGTTTGAGAGAGGGCACACACGTTTTGTATCAGCCCTATTACTCTCACTGGCATCTTCCATTTGCCTCTTTCTTAATTTAGTAGTCAAATCTGAACTGCCAGAGATATATCCAGGCTGGCTGCTGCATTTTTACAACACACATAGGTAGACACCTCTGAGCTAGAATAACGTATAACTATGAAAAGTATGAGAAGAGCTACCGTAGGTACTAACCATTCAGTTATCTCAAATAAATGATAATTTGAAGAAGCAACTGCAGCCTCATCAGCTGCGCCTGCAATTTTGTCTCCATTACATGTCTCATTGGATTTACAGGCCTGCACCATATTGTTGGCCTTAGCTTTTGAAATGCTATGGCCATCGACACTAGCAGGAGCACTGGAGGGGCGAGAAGGCCTGATTCCACTAGTAAATACAAAAACCGGAATACTTTTACGCTTTATATGAGAAACCTGAATCTCCATTCCAGGTTTCCATAAGGTATACATGTTGACAGATTGCTTGAACTCTTCGACTGTTGCCCTAATGTCAAATTGTTCACCTTCACGAACTGGAACTCCTTGCTGTCTTTGTAAACCCATGAAATAACAGAAGTGGAATGCTCTTGATTTGTCTGAGAAGTTATTAGGATGAGGATGGCATTGAAGCATTCCAAATGTGTACCTCTCAATCTGCCTCACAAAGAACAGTATACTCAGCCAAACTCAAATGCTTTGTTAAAGAACTACATGCATTACTGAGCACTATTACCTTTAATATCAGCGTGCGAAGTCGGGATTCAACCCAGCCTTTCCATTTCCTAAGATCATCTTCATTTGCAGCAGTTATGTCAATCTCAAGATAATTTTTATAAGCTTCGAAAAACGGATAAGGCTCAAAAAGAGTGCTCCAATCAGCTTTGTTTGCCCCCATTGCCTGGTCTCATCATCCACATTACGCGGTTTGGAATAAGCCATTGTTTATACAGCACAGTTTTAAAAAAATCAAGGGAGAATAAACAGACATAAGAAAGCATGCCAGCTCGACTACCCACATAATCTATAGAGTGCAAGCAGCATCAATGAAGGTAATATTTTGCTAATTAAACAGTTGGGATTCCAATCAATAAGCATAAATGCAGTCCCAAGCAGCAAGAAGAAAACTGAAGGTCTATTTTAAAGAAAAAAAAGTCATAATGTAATTGAAAACTAAACATCATACCTCGCAAAACTCATTCCCTCGCTGAAATTCTTCAGTCATAACACGCAATGTACTTGATGAAACATTGTAGCTTGAATTCATGCAAGGATAGGCAGGAGTGATTATAGGCATTATATGATGTCTATCTTTAAAATTTCTCCTTGGATCCCAAATAGAGAGCCCTAACGTACCCTCTTCAATCTCACATAGCATGACAGGATTTGGCCACCGCCACTGTGTGTAAACCCTAAAAAACCGAGAAACCAACATACTGGGCAAGGCATTAGGATATAACTGACATATGCGGGCAACAAGTAATGCCCAATTTATACCTCCTAGGAATCCTGCAACCTGTGTAAAAAAAAAGTCATACTCAAGCATGCATAAAAAGGCACTCTTATTCAAAGCATGAAGATGAAATTACGCAAATACATTTGAGTAAACTCCACGACGTTTCGCCCATAATCTCATGCATCTCAGGGTTGTACGAAAATTCTGAACCAATAAAAAATTTATCAGAACAATGTATTACAATTATAATTTTTCACAATAGAAAAAGTACCACATTTGCTTCAAGAAAGATTCCCAGAGTCTCAGCAAGAAAGCACCTGAATACTTGGGACCAAACGTAAAATCTGATCTGTTACTCTACAACCATTTAAACTACGAACAGTTTGCTCATCAGCATTTTGCAATACAGAGTCCTGTGAGATGTCCAGGTCCTGTTATAAAACAGAAAGTCAGGAAGTAGACAGGAACAAAGATTCAAAGGCTAATCTAAAAGTCAACATACAATTGTGAAAAAAAAAATTGGAACATTTTATAGACAAAAAAAAATAAGAAACTTGTCTTATATCTCAATTTTTGTCTTTTCAGAAAACTAACTGTAATCAAGAGAAAATTTTAAAAAGACTTAGCAATATCAAAAAATCGTTCAAATGATTGACATCCCAATAATGGATACCCCAGCTAGCCATCTTAGACGAATTTAAATTGGCCTTCTCATCGCAAGAATAAAGAGGGACTGATGTTAATATCAACATCTACATTCTAGTCATATTGGAAAAAGAACAAAAAGGAAAAATAATCATGCAATAAGAAGTGTTTCATTAGAAGAAAAAGAAGAAAAAAACGGAAAAAGCGCATTTGAGGTGGATGAAACAATATATAACTGCAAGGAAATTGCCGGGCACCGATAAATGGCTGCCTATGAACATTGTCAGCAGAGAAATTCTTCAAGGTCGGTTCAGATTAAATCATAGTTAAATAAAAATAGAGACTTAAGGGATAGGTTAGTGTAGACTACCACATTATTTATTAATTGTTTCTTTTGTCTGTGGAAAGGAATCAGTGAAATAATTGAGTTCCAAAAAATTTAAAGGCGGATTTACATTCATACAACTAAAATATTATTGTTATAAGTTTAACAACCAAAAATAACTATTTACCACTATACCACAATAAGCTTCAAAATGTAGCAAAACTATCACCATAGTTGCATGTCATTACAACAGTAAACCTAGTCCATCGTTCAAGAAATATACTAGGGAGAGTCACTCTGCAAAAGCGAACAAATTTTGTAAAGGAGGGAGGCTCATGGAGATGGGTAGCGTAGGGGGAAAGAACTAAAGAATTGAGATCCCTTGCAAATGGCTAACCAATGGTGCCAACTCATCAGCCAGCAACTTCCAATCTTCCTATCACCCTCTTTTCTCCACCCTTGACTTCTCACCTCTTCTAGTAGCAATACCACCATCATCTATAATGGCTATAGCATAAACCGTAAAGATTTTGATGATAAGCTTCTCTGAAAAAAGGGGTTGAAAATAACCCCCCCATCCATCCATACAAGTAAATTTACGTGCCATAGATAAGCTGCGATTATTATGGGATGTTCACGAAGAAGCCATTGCAAGCCCCAAATATGAAAAGTGGAGGGCTGCGTCCGGATGTGAAAAGTGGAGGACTGTGTTAGGTAGTCGACAGCCAAGGTAAAATTTGTCTAAAAATCATAATATGAATCCTTTTGATCATTGTGTAATTGCTAGGGAGTCTCCTGGAAGCAACGCGATGAATGGTTTAAATACAATGACAACTGTGCAATGGTTGCTACACCGTTGCTCGGGTGTAATGTCAAATAAGCAAGGGTTCCCACATTATGGAAAGATGTGCGTAAGGAAATTAGTACATAAAACTAATATTAGGATAGGATCTTGGAATATAGATACTCTCACAAGTAAATTAAAAGAATTAGTTGATCTTATGATTCTTCAAAAGATAAATATCTTATGTATTCAAAAAATTAAATAGGTGAAAAAGTGACTAAGAAGATTGATAACTTAGGTTTTAAACTTTGGTATTCAAGTAAGAGTAGCAATAGAAATTGTGTAGGTGTAATTATAGATAAGTTTGAAAGATAATATTGTGAAAATTAATAAAATTGGAGATGGAATTATAGCCCTTAAGATTGTTGTTGATACTAATATTCTTAATATTATAAGTGCTTACGCTCCTCAAGTAGATTTAAATATAGATTCTAAAGATAAATTCTTGAGTGACCTAGAAGACTTAATACAAATGATACCTCTTGAAGAAAGGATTTTATTGGAGAAGATTTAAATGGACATGTCAATAGAGTGATAAAAGGTTTTAGAAATATTCATGGTGGCAACGGTTTTGGAGTGATTAATGAAAAAGGTAGTCATATAAGTTTTTACTTTAGCGTATGAGAAAAGAGATGAGCATATTATTATTACTTATAACAATGAATCTAATAAAACACAAATTAACTATTTTCTTATGAGAAAAAGAAATCGTTGAGAATGTTAAGATTGTAAGGTCATTCCAAGTGATAATTTAAGCACTCAACATCGATTATTAGTTCTAGATTTTAAGATGAATAGTAAAAAAAAATACTAGGGATCATTGTTGTAGAATTAGACAGAGACACCAAAATGACGAATAAAATTATTTTTATGAGTAAACTTCAAAATTTCAAGATTTAAAATGTTTATGAAGAAGCAAATTCTATGTGGAATAAAGTAACAAACACTATTAAAAAAGTGACAAAAGATGTACATCGAGAATTAAAAGAAAATAGTTTTATAAATAAAAAAATTGATGGAACAATGTGCAAGAACAGATAAAATACAAGAAATTATGTTATAAAAATTGATTTAAAAGTAAAAGCTCAGAAAACTGGGAAAAATATAAAATGACCCGTAGGAAGTCTAAGAGAACAATCTGTGACACTAAAAATTTTTTTAATGATCTTTATAATATATTAGATATTAAAGAGGGTAAAAAATATATGTATAAACTAACCAAACAATGAGAAAGAAAAAGTAAAGATTTAACTCAAGTAAAGTGTATCAAAGAAGAAAATCAAGAAGTGTTTTCTTTGGGAAAAAAGATATTCAACATGGATGGGTGAGTTATTTTGATAAATTTTTTAATGTAATTTTTGAAAATGCGATCAACATTAGTGATCTTGATATCGTTAATAATAATAAAATGTTTATTTTTTACCGTCACATTAGTAAAAAAGAAGTTGAGGAGGCTTTAAAGAAAAAAAGAGTAGAAAGCTATAGGACCTGATAATATCCTAATTGAAGAGTGGAGATATATTAAAGATAGGGGATTTTCTTGACTTACTAAATTCTTTAATATTATTTTAAATAGTAAAAAAATGTCTGACTGGAGGAAGAGTTTTTTGGTCCCCATTTTTAAGAATAAAAGGGAAGACTGGAGGAAGAGTTTTTTGGTCCTCATTTTTAAGAATAAAAGGGATGCACAAGAGGGTGCAAATTATAAAGGAATTAAGTTGATGTGTCACACTTCAAAAATTGGGAGAGGGTAATTGAACACAGGTTAAGACATATTACAAAGATTTCTCATAATCAATTTGGATTTATGTCAGGAAGGTCTACTATGTAAGATATACATTTATTGAGAGGTTTGACAAAGAAGTTCAGAGAGAATAAGGAGGATATACATATGATTTTTATTGATTTAGAAAAAACTTACGATAAGGTACCAAAAGACATGCTTTGGAGGGTTCTAGAGGAGATATGTGTTGATATGACTTGTATTTAAGTCATTAAAGATATGTACACTAGAGTTATTACTTGAGTTCGAACAAAAGAAGGATTGACCAAATATTTTCCTATTTCAATTGTATTACATCAAGGAATTGGCTTTAAGCTCATATCTTTTTGCTTAAGTTATGGATGCTCTTACTAGATATTTACAAGAGGATGTACTTTAGTGTATGCTTTTCGCTGATGATATCCTTCCCGTGGATAAGACTAGAGAGAAAGCATGGAAAAACTTGAATTATGGAAGTCAACATTAGAGTCTAAAGGGCTTTGTTTGAGTACTAGATAAAACTTCATTGACAGTCGAAGCCTCACCCTTAGCTAGAGCAAGGTCCTTGCTATCCTTTCCTGGTTCTCAAGTTACAATTGGGTTTTTTTGGGGAATATGCATGAACTTTCATGTGAAATTATGGTATATCTTCGTTGCATATAAACGATTTTAGTGCCAAGATAGTGAATATCAAGAGTTGTGCTAAATTTGCAAATATGAGAAATTTTAGTGCTATGTGAATAAAGCCCCCAAATTAAAAACAAGAATGTGTTATCTCACCATTATAGATAATATTCATTTATCACCCTTCATAGGCATGGTCTTTTTAAGCAATTGTCAATCTCTTAATCAATTAGATAGAACTACCTTCAAAGTCTCTAGAGACCATCAACTCATCAAGTCTTATAGTAAATAATCATATGCACTTTACAAAGTGTTGATTTCTAGCTAACTTGGTCTTTGTTCTTCTAATGAAATTTTGTTTGGCTTAAAATTTTCATAAAACGCGATACAATGTGTCATACATTTAATATATGGGAGAGAGTAATTGAATATAGGTCAAGTCATGATACAACGATTTATCATAATCAATTTAGATTTATGTCAGGCAAGTCTACTATGGAAATTTTACATTTATTGAAAGGTTTGATGGATAGTACAAAGAGAGTAAGGAAAGTCTAAATATGATTTTTAATGATTTTTATTGGTTTGGTCACATTAAACATCGCCATCTGATGATCCGATTAGGAGAGTAGATGTTTTAGATTTGACTTATGTTAAAATTGGCAGAGGTAGACCTAGGAAGACTTGGGCTTATTGTATAAAAAATGATCTTAATTTATTAGAACGAAATGAAAATATGACACTAATAAAGACACAATGGAGAAAAAGGATTCATGTAGCCAACCCCACGTATTGGTATTAAGGCTTCGTAGTTGTTGTTGTAGAAAAAGCTTACCATAAGGTTCCAAGAAAGGTTCTTTGGAGAGTTTTAAAAAAGAAAGGTGTTCATAAAACTTCTATTCAAGTCATTAAAGATATATAGACTAGAGTTGTTACATGAGTTTGAAAAGGAGGACTGACCAAGTACTCTCCTATGTCAGTTGGATTACACCAGGGATTGGTTTAAAGCCCATATAATTTTTTTTTTTTTTGGTTTGGGATGCACTTAATGGACATTTACGGGAGGATGTACCTTGGTGTATGCTTTTCGCTGATGATATCCTTCTTGTGGATAAGACTAGAGAAAGAGTTCAAAAAAAAAACTTGTTTGCATTATAAAGGCCTTAGTTTAAGTGGATCTAAAACTTAATAAATGGAATGTAATTTTAGTAGTAGTAGATCAAGTGGTAGAGTTGTATAAATAGTTGATCAGATCATTAAAAGGTGTCAACATTTTAGCTATCTTGGGTTTATTGTTCAAAGTGATGGTGATATATATTGGGATCTTATTAGTAGAATTCAAATTGAATGGTTGAAGTGCAGGAATGTGTCAGGCCTACTGTGTAATAGAAAAGTAGCGCTTAAACTTAAAGGAAATTTTATAAGATGGTGATGAGACCTGCAACGCTTTATGCCGCAGAATGTTGATCTTTAAAAGAGAAGCATAAAACTAAGTTAAGTGTTGCTGAGAAAAGGATATTTAGGTTGATGAGTGGCTTGACTATTAGAGACAAAACGCAAAATAAATGTATCCATGAAAGTGTTGGATTAGCCCTAGTGGTAGACATAATTAAGGAGATTTATCTTAAATGGTTTGGTCACATTAAACATTGACCATCTGATAATTTGATTAGGAGAGTAGATGCTTTAGATTTGACTTATGTTAAGAAAAATAGAGGTAGACCTAAAAGGCCTTGGGCATGTTGTATAAAAAATGATCTTAATTTATTAGAATTAAAGTAAAACATGACACTCAATAGACATAATAGATAAAAAGAATTCATGTTGCCGACCCCACTTAGTAGTATAAAGGTCAGTTGTTGTTGTTCTTGTTATTGTTGTAGTAAGATCTTGATAAGTGAGCACAATATTTTTCCTAAATTCGATATAAATTATTGTTCCCGATAAATTTAGATTGTGAATCATTAGTTTCATTCAGTACATTTAATTTAGAACGACACGGTTTCATGCAGTCCACCCAATTTAGATTACCATTAAGTTGGGATGCTAAAACTTTACGTAAATAATATGCCATAAATACATAATATGTTACTCATCTGGCATTCATCTACATATGGAAATATAAAATTTATCGGTAGCATCGCAGCCTAAAGCAACATCAAAATTAGAGGGGTGGCGAAATTAAAAATTAAGGTGTGAAGAGTATTTAAATTTAAAGTTTTAAACTTCTTATGAAAATTTAAAACTATTACATATTATTATTGAATAAAAATATAGTACATATTAAATTATTATCAAGTATTTAAGTTTAGGGGGCCAAATTTTCAGTGTATTATATAATACTAAAGAGTTTAGTAAAAATCTAGGAGTGATAGGTGCATCCCTAAGTCCACACCTAATTCCACAACTGATCATATCAAAATGGATTGCTCCCGATTTAGATGTGGACACTTAGCACTTGTCCTTGAAGCAACAAGAAGAGACATCGCTTTTGAGATAGCATTTGATGGGTATGTCATTTGAGTTACTTTAGTTTTTAATTATGTTTATAAGCAAATAATATTGAAAATAATCTACCAAGTAACAAAAAGATGATGCAATGTTGAGACACAAGAACAACAGGAGAGAAACAGAATGATTAGTCATCCAACAAAGTAGAACAAAGCTCTCAACAGGATTAACATGTTTATAGAATAATTCAATGAAACATTCAAGCAAAAGGGACTAAGTGGCATTATGAGGATGAAAGCGATACCATTCAATACTCCCATGATATCATTAAGGGCAATGAAAGAAAAAAACAGTACTTACTTCAGGAATCACCCAAAGTGCCAACTTTGCATATAGAAGATCTATAGAGACCCCATTAAAACAGAACTTCATCACCGGTACATGAGCATCAGCCACTGGATGAAGCTCTGTTACCTCAGGCATCTCAGCCAACATGTTATGAAGTTCCGTGAAAAAGTCTTCCTGAAACGGGATATGAAGCATCAGATTGTGTTACTGGGCAAATGAAGGCGCAAATTCAAAATAAAATAACAAAGAAAAAAACTGTGCTTACTTCTCTAGTTGCATGTCTCGGTCCCACACATAAAGTGTCAATATCTGCCCCAGGACCATGCACCTAGCGCAAAAGACAACAATTGTTCATCCAAAACACATAATCAAACTGAGTTAATTTCTGCTAGTTAAACCTAAAAGCAACATAATACAGAAAAAGAAGAGGCTGGAACAAGATGCCAGTTAAGCCTCTGATAAATGAAATTAAATGGAATATAAATAATTTTTCTGTTTGATTACCAAAATGAATAATTTGGTTGAATATAGATCCCACAAATGAAGGATAATCATCATAACAGCCCAAACCAGTATAACGACAGTTGGCGGAAATAATCCCCTATGATACTCCATTTATAGTCCCGAGGGAACCAACTAAACATTCAATTATCTCATATTTCTGAATTTGAACATGGCGACTTCACTATATATGTAAAAGATGCTAAATGAGAAGGCGTGATTCTGAATTTGAAGATGGCGACTTAACCATATATGTAAAAGAACAAAGATCCATGATCATTAACCAACTCTTATTTACTTGCATAAATAATTCAACAAACACACAAATGAAGTACACTAATTGTCTCAGTTGATAGCAGTAAAATTTTTTATTTGTTATACTAGAAAGATGTGGTATTCAATACAAAGATGTAAGGTTGAAAGCAACCCAAACAACTAAGACTCTTTCCTACTGAAATATTCAACGAAAGAGATTCCATTGGTATGTGGAAGGATATTTATCTTTTAAATCCAAATACAAAAAATATATTACAGATAATAATAAAAGCATTAACAAAATTTGGGTTGTCGCTGAACCAATGCCCTGAATAAATAACTCAAACTAGGCTTGGTTAATAATTGTTTAAGTTAATAATCAAACAAATCTGAATACTTTTTAAGAAATCAAAAGTGACATTAACTAAGCTTGAACACAATCCAACTCATTTATTTATGTTTACAAACTAGCTTATTTGTTGTTCAACAATAAACTTGTTAAAAGCTTAATATTGAGCTCAAAAATAACTCCTAAATTTTTTAATTTAAGTTTGACTAAATATAATTTGATTATGTGCATATTTAAAAATAATAGATTTCAACTTAATATCAATTATATTTTATGATTAATTATCAATAACATATTTACTTAATTAAAAAATGTTTATTTATCACACCTTAATAATAAAAATATCAAAATTACATTAATTATTTCAAATATTTAATTAATTTTTTTAAAATTTTTTTGAGAATATTGAAGAATAAATTTCATATTAACAAAATTAATTTCAAGATATTAATAATTATTTTTAAAATTTTAATAAACTAAATTAAATTTCAGTCATTGCAATCAATTTGCTATTAGTGAATCTGCATATTGCTTCTTCCTCAAGTGTATGTTCGGATTTTATTTTTTAGCTTTCTAAATTTTTCAAGTTAATTAATCCCTTACTGGGAATGTACATGTGATTTAATGCAATTCGTTTCTTAGTTCTTTGTTTCAATGAACAAGTATGTTGTTATATATTTATGTTAAATGATTGTAGGAAATTTTGCTCATGACATATTAAGTTAGTTCTAGGTAGTTAATTACTAATTCCAGTTAAATTTAATTGCTTGTTCATTTACTTTTAAGCAATTTATTGTTCAAATGAGAAATAAAGTACCCATTTAAATTTTAACTTTCTATAAAGTAATCATTTAATTAATTTAGGCAAGTAATGTAGAAACCAGGTATGATTAAAAAAAAATTCAAACAACTCATGTACAAACATATAAGTGAAACTTGGTTCAAGCTTGAACAGAACATGTACAAATTTTAGAATAACTAGGCTAAGTCAAATCCACAAGATACTCAGATTAACCTTGCTCAATTGCATCCTTAAACAAAATACAAAAAACACTCATCAAAATGCTTAGTTCACTAAAAATCTTCTTCATGATGAATATATTCGACAAACCCATACAAATGGAGACAACTTTACAGAGTGGAATGAAACAATTAAATACAACCACCCTGCCACCACCCAAAATACAAGATGTAAAGAAGCAAGCACAATTTATCCATATGCTAAACCACTAAATATAACCAATTTCACATGAACCATTATATTTACACAATACTTTCAAGAAGAAAATAGTTTTATGTTAGTCAATAAAATGCTTCATCAATGCAAATACATCATACAATTTATATTGTTCTCACAATCAACATACCAATTTGTTTTGCACAAAAAATTCTTAGTCCTAAAATTCAAGTTTCATACCAACTAAAATGATTGTTAAACTTCCCACCGTTCTATAACAACAAAGAAGTTTCCTATAAAAAAAGAGAGGAAAAAAATTAGATGAGAAATTTATACCCCAAGACGGTAAGACCCAAAAGTGAAGATTTTTGCATTTGCTTCTTGTACAAACTGCTCATTAAAACCCTTTGCCCTACTGATCCTTTTAACCCAGATCTTCACTATCTGTAGCAAACCAAAAAGCAGAAATGTCATGTGAAATATAAGACAAGACCATTGAGGACAACTTCGAATTAATATAATATTATAACAGATTAACCTGATCCAACCTCCCTAGGACCTCCTCCCTCGATATTGCTTCTTCTGGACTTTCATACAATCCAGCGTCTTCAAGAAACTGGCCAAAAAAATGTACTGCATAGGATTTAACATCCAGAGCCAGCACAAAATGTGTATAATTTGGGAGTAAAATATCCAAGAAAAGTACCTTCTCCAACTCTCGAGTTTTAATCACATCTAACTCAGTGGGACCACTAAAGGAGATCGGTTCAGTGACCCCAAGATATCCATTACCACGCTTTGCCACAATCGAACTGCCCATCAAGCTTTCCCCTCTTTTAAATGGATTTTTTTTTTCTTCTTGCGATAGAAGTTCTTGCTTGCAACAACAGATACAAGAACAAGCTTGTACCCTTTTTTTTATTTATTTTAGTTATTTTATCCTTTTTTTTATACAAACCAAAACCAAGAGCGAAGAAAATTGCGATTAAACAAAAAGAACGAAAGAAGGAAATATAAAACAACTATCGAGAGTCACTGGTACCAAAAATAACAAGAATACATCCTTTGCGGCCTTTACAGGAGATCTAATTGAAAACCCTCGAACAACAAAGGAAGGAAAACACAATACAGATAAGCGATTACAACACCTAGAAATCCCCCTCACACTCTCATTAGTTATTGATAACAAAATAGCAAGAAAAGCCCAAATCAAACCCTAGAAGCTGGATAAAATTGCGGAAGAAGGCGCCTAAGAAATCAATTGCGGACTCTGAATCCTTCCAGCAAAGCCCACCTGTATCTCCTTCCACCGTCTTTTTCAGTCTTCGATCCGTCCTGGATCTCTCGATACAACAAAAACAGGCCTCGATCCCTCGATACAACAAAAACAGGATAGCACGAGCTTATCAACGCTCGTGTGTAGGGGTGTAAAGGAACCGAAAGTGTTCGTTTAAAATTTAGTTTCTTTGGAATAAGTTCGTGTTCCTTTCTTGACGAACGAGCCGAACACGAACCGAATATGAACTGTTTGCGAACGACGACAAGCCTGTTTGACATCCCTAATATTAATATATAAAAATAATATTATATATTAATTATATAACTTATATTATATAAATATATAATATCTATATTAGTATATTAATACTATAGTATATTAATATATTATTATTATTATTAATTTATTATATATTATAATTTATAAAATTTGAATGCATCACTGTTCGTGTTTGGTTCGTTTAACTAACCGAACGAAAAAAATTTGTTCACGGTTGTCTCGTTTACTTATCGAACGAATCGAACACGAACTCATTGACGAACCGAACACGAACTGTTCGCGAACAACGAGCTTTTTTGACAGCCCTACTCGTGTTCGTCGGAACGAGAAATTATTGGTGTCCGCGGAGCATCTAGTTCACGATATATTTCAATTAAAAAAAAAAATTTAGGTGGGGCCCATCGAAATTACCTTTGCTGTCAGGATCGGACACCGCATACATCTTGGATGTGGTGTCCATGTATGAAAAAAATTTTCGGAATGGAGAAGGCTAGGGTTATCTGTTATGTATGCATATGTATGGATGTATGTATGTATATGCATATATGTTTGGGGTTTTCTTGCTATTTTGTTAAATATATATGTATATATATTGATAGATAATATATGTATATACATATACATATACATATATGTATATACATATACATATACATATATGTATATACATATACATATACATATATGTATATACATATACATATACATATATGTATATACATATACATATACATATATGTATATACATATACATATATGTATATACATATACATATATGTATATATATATACATATACATATATATATATACATATATATATACATACATCCATACATACATCCATACATACATCTATATTTAATATCATATTTAAAATATCATAATTAGTAACGTTTTAAAAATAATTTTCATGTATAATTTTATGCAACGAAGTAGATAAATATAGAAGGCTTGCCTGATATGTATGTAAATTTCTTTAATTTAAAAATCCAATAAAAAGTTTTATTTTATTTGATAAAAATATTAATAATTGAGAAATATATTGGGGTTGTTTTTTTATTAAATTATGCTTATTTTTTACCAAAGTCCATTTTATATATGTCTTTCAATTGTAGAAGTATAAAACTTATATATCTATGACTAAAAATAATTATGTTCACATAAATAATACATGAATTTTATGATTTATAGTTAATGTCTCAAAATAATTAAAAATCTCAGTCCTTGTTATTTTTAAGAAACTTTTCCCTCAACTCCCCTCCTTCATTCACAATAACTAATCATCTCTAAGCATGTCTTCGGGATTAACTCCATCCTTTTTGTCTATAGCTTTAACTAATTCACCAAGGCTTCCCATCAGATTGAAGCTCTTACATATTTCATAGGCTCATGCACAATCATTATAAACTCTCACAGCTCACTGCATCTCTTCCTATGGCATTCTTATATATTTTTCTTTCTTTGACACTGGTTTGTTGACCTCATTTTTTATGAGGTCAAATTCTTCTTTTTAGGAATTTAGGATCTAGTCTTATGACTTTCCTATGGACTATCTTACAGGACTAGTGAGAGAATCCACCCACATAGAAATTCTAAATAATTCTTGACTCCTTTTGTGAGGTCCCACCTGAGTGGTCACAAGCCACCAAATGTCATTTGGGATAGCTAAGACCAACATGTGAAGAGTGAGTTCCTACAGGTTCAACCAGGCCTTAGAACAATCCTAGGTGGCTTAGGTTTGATCTCACACACACCTACACACGCACAAACCCATTAAATTACCCACATACCCCAAAACCCGAAAATCACATACATTGGTCCTACCTCCTTAATTCTTTTGGGGGAACACACATGGGTGCTCACAAGCCCCCAAATATCATTTGGGATGCCTAAGACCAACATGAGGAGACTCACAAATGAGTTCTCATTTGGTGTCCTATGGTCCCAAGATGTCTAGCATGACATGCATGATCATCTTATCAAATTTCTCACGAGTTACTCAATTTTTGTAAATTCCCCAAAAAACCCAGTTTAACCCTAAATTCAAGCCCTCCAAATTCCAATACCAAATTCAAATTCAATTTCACCAAACACCAAATTAAAACCCAAATTTCAATTCCAACCCCAAATCTCCCAATTTTGAGCCAAATGTCCAAATCCATACCAAAATTCCATCAAGTCCAAAAATCCACCAAATTATGCCTGCACGCCAATTCAAATATCATATACCCAAAGTCAATTTTGCATGACAATTCCAAAGCCCATCAAGCCCAAAAATCAATTTTCCTTAATCCATCCTTAATTTAAAAGCCCACCATATTTAATTTTAAAAAGACCAATTTCAATTTTCCTTTTAAAAGCCCAAGCCCACAGGGCAAATTTCTTTCATCATTCTTTTAATCAAAATCATCCATGGCACCTCACATCATGCATCGATGTATGAACTTATGCTTTTGGTTCCATGGCCCTCTCTCACAAAATTTTCAAAATCCCCAAATTCCTCTTTCATAAAAATTGATCATGGTCTCACTCATGTCATGGAGTCACTCAGGGAGACATCCGTGAGCATCATATAGGTCATAAACACCAAATGTGGCAAAATGAGGACCTCCTTTCACTCCCACGAACCAAATTCATATTCCCCGTGCAAAATCAATCGTCCAAGCCCCTAGAAGTTGACCCAACAACTCCAGCCACCTTGGACTTGACCCCAAGCCATTTCCATGGGGTTGAACCCATGGTTAACCCAACCTAACCCAAATTGATTGCCCACTTTGGAAAAATTTCAATTACCCATGCATGGACCAATTTGACTTCACATTTCCTCAATTACGACCTCCCATAGTTTGGAAGTGACCTTATTAGACCGGCCAACCACCCAGCCGCCAGAAAATACCACTCCCAAGGAGGCCCCCATGGCCAAAACTCCAAATCATAACTCCATGAGCTGGCTTAATCTATCAGATGCCCTCTTCTTCCCTCCACCTAAGCAAGCCTTTGCACCCACTGGCTAGCCTATTAAGCCCTCCTTCCTCCTTTATAAATAAGCCACCACCTCATGGACAAACTCTACCAAAAACTTTCCAAACCCTAATTTCAATGTCTCTAAGCTCATTCCAATCATTTTTAGCCCTTCATCCCCACTCCTCAGTGATACGCCTAAAAAAATGTGCAATTTTTCAAAAATGTGCAATTTTTCAATGCCTATATTTGGTGATTTTCTAGGACAATGCACTTTAAAGGAAGGTATTTTTTATATTTTTGGTTTTAGCTACAGAAAATGGAGTTTTGGAGATAAAAAATAAAAATAATGCAATTTGGAGCAAAAGCGAGAAAGAAAGAAAATTTTATCCTAGCACATTTTAATATGTCTTTCTATGCTTAATCTCTTTTACACTTCCCACATACTTTTGAATGAAATTACATTTTAAAAAAAGGTTATTTTTATGCTTATTTTGTAGGTCTATCTGTTAGGAATGCAACACAACTGAAACGGGGCGATACGAAGCTAAAACGGAGCCAAACAAAGAAAAAATGGTGGAGCTGAGTAGGGTGGGTGCCGGCAGCGCTAGAGCCAAAGCCGACAGTGCCGAAGAGCAGAAAAACAATGAGAAAACGACTCCAACAGCCCCCAAAATGGCGCCGACGGTGCCCGGGACAGTCATGGATCGATTTTTGGCAATTTTTTATGTTCTAGAAGGCTCCCAAGTGATTCAAACACCCCATGAAGCAATTCAATGAATTTAGACACTTTGATAAGGCTCTTGAATGAAGAAAAATGTCTTTTGGATGAATAGATTTGTCTCTTGGAAAAAAGGAGAGAATTTGTGTCTCTTTAAAAAAGAGGGCTTGGCACCTCTCATATGCATGTGTGTGTGTGAGGGTGTGTGTAGGGTGTGTGTGAGTGAGAATGTTTAGTGATCTTAGAATAGAAGTAGAAATGTAGATTTCTACTTTTTTGGAGAGATTGGTGATTTTTTGGAGAGATTTTTTGGAGAGATTGGTGAGGGGATTTTGAGAGAATTTGTTAGAGAATGTTCTAGCATTTTATGGATCAACGGGAGACTTGTGGGAAAGGTTTTCATCTTTCTTTCAAAAGGAAAAAGCTAAGTATTGTGCTCTTCATTATCTTATGATTTTGTAAACACTTATCTAGTAGATTTGCTTTCATGTAATGAAGTTTTTCATTGTGTTTTCTTCGTGCTTTGTGATGTGTTTCTCTTACTCTTTCTTCTTCTTAGGAAATAGTGGCATGAGAGAATTATATCATTATTTTCTTTTTATTTTTCTTTTACAATGAGTAGGATTCATGTTTTGGATTTTGGGATGGTTTTTACTTGCACTTTATTTACATTACAATAAAGGTCAGTTGTAGTTTTAAATTTGTTGTAATTGCATTAAGACCCGAGAGGGTGGTGTAATTCTCAACAAAGTGGAACCACATTCAAATTTCATGGATGGTGAAGTTCATGGGGGTTAGATGCAAATAAATAAGAAAATATACTTTGATGGGAATAGAATTGGAGATTTTAGAGTGACAGATTAAAATCTCCAATTCGGTCTTAGTGTTTAAAGAACTAAAGCGAGAGTTAGCCTTCAGGGGAAGGGAAGTGGGAGCTCTGAAGTGGGAGCCAGTCTCCTAGCCTAGCCACGGATTTAGGGAATAAACCTGAGATTAGCCAATGATTTTCTATAACACTGAATCAGGGTAGAGAATTAAAATTGCTCCAATATGGCACATACAATATTTAATGTATCTCATTTCCTTACATTATCCAACTCACTACATAAGAATAGTAGTTTTAAAAATCTTAAAATTCTCCAAACCAATTTATCTAGAAAGGGTTATCTTTAGAGTT